ATATATATATATATATATATATATTTAATATATATATATATTTATTTATTTATATATTATTATATATATATAATATATATATCTATATATAAATAATTAATATTATATATATATTTATATATATATATATATATATTATATATAATATTATTATATATATATATATATATATATATATATAATATATATAATATATATATATATATATATATATATATACATATATATAATGAATATGTATGCATCATATAAACATTATAATATAATGTATAAATCATGCATATATAAATAATTATACATCAAATTAAATGAAACAACACAGTAACAATGTGTCAACATAAGTAATAGTCTTAATAATTATTTATACAACCCATGATGAATAAAATCATAAAATGGAATGAAACAACACAGGAACAACAAAATATATACAATTTATTTATTCATTTACCAATTTCTACAGCCAAGATATTACAAATCTTTGCATATATATATATATGCAATATATATACTTATATAGTATTATATATATAAATTAATTAATGTATATATTAATTTATATATACACAGACACACAAAATATCAATACTATTCTATAAAACACAAAGTGAAAAGTCTCGGTGCAATTTTGATGTCTTTTATTAAAATTCCCTCATTATACTTGTAACTTAGTTACTCTTTTATTAAAATAGTGTATCGATTATAGTTTATAGATCATAGAGTATAGAATATAGAAAATTAAAAAATATCTTAAACGATAAATAAGTAAACAAAATAATAGTCTTAAAATAATCAACCAAAACAAGTAGACATATTTAAATAACCGAGTTTGCGCATAATATTGTATGCGCCAAGTTGATAGTATTAATTTTTCTACTTATATTAAAGGTAATTAGGACGTCTTATGTAGGTCTTAGCGACGTCAATAGGACGTCTAAATATTGAGGTCCTGATATCGTCTTTATATTAACGTCACAAGGACGTCCTAACAAAGACGTCTTTACCAGACGTCTTTAGGACGTCCTAATTTGGTCTGAGACGTCGCGACCTAGTAAAGACGTCCTTAAGACGTTTGATTGACGTCTGTGCCCGCTGGGTAAACTTAATTTTGTTTGCAGATGATACAAACTTGTTTTATTCTAGTAAAGATATCAGTAAATTATTTCAAACAGTAAACAAAGAACTTGAAAAATTAACCCAATGGTTCAAATCAAACAAACTATCTTTGAACATCAATAAATCCAAATACACTTTGTTCCATCGTCTTCATAAAAAACAAGATATTCCATTAAAACTTCCTGATCTTTTTATTGATAACGCATTATTAAAAGAGAGCAATCAATAAAGTTTTTAGGTGTGGTTCTGGATGAAAATTTAACCTGGAGGGACCACATAGGTCTAATTGAAAATAAAATATCAAAAAATATAGGTGTTTTGTATAAAGCCAAGCAGTTTTTAAATCTATCTTGTTTAAAAAACTTATATTTTTCTTTAATTCATTGCTACTTAAATTATGCAAACGTTGCTTGGTGCAGCACAAACGCAACAAAAGTAAAAAAACTGTTTAGTAAACAAAAACAGGCTATAAGGATAATTACAAACGTAGACCGTTTCTCTCACACTAAAACATTATTTAATAAACTTAATATTCTAAATGTATATAAACTAAACCTTTACCATATTCTTATCTTCATGTTTAAACTTGATAAAAAAATATCACCAATGTTATTTAATTCACTTTTTGAAAAAATAAACCACATATACCCTACCAGATTTTCAAAAAACAATTACATTCAATCCAAAACACATTATTCAGCAACCAAATTCTCAATTGCAAATCGAGGTCCTAAGTTGTGGAATACAATTTTAAATAATGAGCTGAAATCTAATTATTCTTTAAACAGTTTAAAACAAAACTTAAGCAATTACTGATGATACATGAAAATGAATTAAAGTTCTTCTAAAAAGCTTTTTAAACTAGCAAACAAAAACAAAAATTAACCTACTAATTACTCTTTAATATTATATTTAATATTCTAAACAATAGTCTGCTATTGTAAATGTATTTCTTATCTTATAAGTTTTGAATTTACAAACGATTTTTTAAGTTTTATTATTTGAAATACTAATTACTAAAAATATTGTAAAATTTTATAATTTCAATTTTTATTAAAAAAAGTTATTGTAAATTCTTTTTGTAATATTAATACTTATATAATCATCTTATTTTACTAATCAGTTCTTAAATATAAATACTCTTTGAATTACTAAATATTTTAAACGTTATATATTTATTTTTTACATTTTGTTAAAATATTTTATTTGATGAATATGCATTTTTTTTTTTTTGGGGGGGGCTTAATGATAAGATGAATTTTGTCTTCTTCAAGCCCCATTTATGTAAATATTTGTTTTTATAAATTACGAGTGTAAATTATTTTCAATCGGCAAATACAATACTACTACTACTAACCTGATCTATACAAAAAATAATGAAATAAAACTAATAATTTAACGCTAAGTTAAGGCAAAATGTATTCCGGACATTTTATAAAATTGGTATAAATATGGATTGGATGTATGCTGAAATAAATAAGTTGATATACGTTAGCTATAAAGTAAATCGATATATTCCTTTATTGTTTTTTTTATAAACAAGTTTCTGCTCGATTACTAATTAAAAAAAGTTGGTTTAGTAATAATCTTTATTATGTAATAATATAGGATCCGTATGCAGGGCTAAGCCCTTTCCGGCATTGCGTTATATTTTTCAACTTATAGTTTTTCCGGATATCCAACTTCTATGCCTACAAGTATGGGTGTAATATTTTAGATGTTTTAAAAATACTTTAAAATCATATTAAAAATATTGAAAAGTTTAGGTGCAATAGTGACATATTTTTAAGCTCTTCACTGAGTAAAATAAAAAGTTAAAAAAAAAAAGAAACGACTTAGCTTAAAGCAAAATTTAGAGTAAAATATGTTCCCAATATTTGTCTAAACAGTTTTACGGAATTTGAAAAATTGACATCGAAGTTCTGTGCATATAATTCAATAATTGTCAGTTATATACTTCTTATTAATCAGTCTTACATATTTAAATTATGCATTTAATGGCTAGTACCAAACTTAGAAGATTTAAGCAACGTCTAAGAGTAGTGCTTTTTATTGGTTCAGTTATTCATAATGTGTTAAGTGCAAGTTATCTTTTTTTATATTAAAAAAAAAAATCTAAAGTATTGTAAAGTTTGTTTATAAATATTTTGTTTGTATTATTTGAATTTATTTTAAATCTTGTAAAAAAAATCTTCCTTACTGCCTCTATAGTTTAGTATTGTTAACTATTGTTTAAAAGTATTTGTTGGTTAGTGTTAATGCGGCATTTAAATCCAAAATCCTAAATTTAATGGTATAATTAGCAGTGGCTGGTAAAAATTTTCTTTTAATTACATTTTGAAATTCACATGATCTAAATTTGTAATTTATTTAAAAATATGAATTGTGCTCAGTAAATGTATTTTTTTTAAAACTTACTAAAGTTTTATAAACAATTGCATATTTCCACATGAAGTTGCATTGCCAGTGCTATAGCATTGGGCCCCACAGTTTTGGAGTCTTTAGTTCATTGAAAAATATTACTTCAAAAGCAACTCTGAAAGTAAATTTTTTACTAATCTTGCAATGAGGTCTCCTGCTTTAAAACAGCCCTGGGCCTAAACAAATCTTGATCTACTACTTCATGTTGCCATAATGTATGATATTTTATATGTAATATAGGAATAAAAATGTGGAGGAAAAAGCAGTTTGCTAATCGATGATGTACTATTTTGTCATATGCCTTCAAATGTTCTGCATAAATAATCGTACAAATTGATAGGAAGGAATCTTGACATGGTTTATGTGCTTTAAACAAATAATTTCCATAAAGATACTCTTTCAATCTTTATGAGTGGAGCGGAAGAATATATTTTGAATTTAGTTTATACTCAAAAGAAATTTGACTGTACTGATAGTGTTCAGAGAGTAGCAATATTCACGTTATAAGAATCATTTTAAAAATAATTTTAAATATCAAAATTGCTTTGTTTACTTTTATTAGTGTACACTTTGGATTTCAATAAATAAGATATAAGTATAATTACAACTTCAATTTATGAATATTTTATATAAAAAAAATAATGACCCAAATTTAGTAAGGATTTTTAAACATTGATTATAAAAAATTTAACTCACAAATCTATGTCGTAAAACTCTAATCTGCCAAGTAAACAAGAAGTGAGGTTAGAATAAATAACGTAAAGTCAGAACTTTTCGAAAATATGAATTAGAGTAAACAGGAAACAACTCACAATTGATTAAATGGTAGGAGACTTTTCTTTGACACCTGACGGCAGTTGGCATAAAAGAGGATGGGGTTGTGAGTCTGGTTGGGGAATGGGGTTTGCGAGGAGAAATAAATCCTAGATTCGCTCCTGCATATCATTACTAATATTTGCGTTGTACATACTTGAAATTAGACGTAAACTATTTGCATTTACAAATCTAAATTAAAAATCATTAAATCATAAAATCACTGAATCATTTTCTTATAAATACGACGTAACAAATTCTTTTTTTGTATGATAAAATGGGATGTTGATTTGCACAGTAAGAAAAATACTCTTTTAAACAAGATGCTAAAACTTACAAAACAAGATGGTAAAACATACAAAAAATTGTCTTCATTTGACAATTTTTCTGTTCATGTTTACAGAAATTTAGTTATTAAAGGATTTAGATTTGCTTGGTAACACCACTTGGGATTTTAATTGGAATTGTAGAGAAAAACATAAGTTAGGGTAATAATATTAACAACCAGAAGTAGCAGATGTTATGGTGGTTTGGAGGCTCTTGCCAAACCATTAGAATACTGTGTTTCTTTTTCAAATGAACCATAATTGTAGACATAGGATACATTTCTGATACACATTATCAAAAATCAGTCGCTAATCATTACAAAACCTTATTTTTAAGTGCTGATGATACTCATATTATACAAAACCAAAATAGATTTGTCGAAGAACCTGACTAACCATACAACAGCTTTTTGACAAAGTCGTGTCTAAAAAGGAAAAGCAATGAGTTTTAAAGTCAAAAAAAAAAAATCCGAGTAAAGATAATAATTAAGAGTAACTACCTAAAACTCAAAAAAATAAGCTGTCAGAGAAAAAAAGGAGGAAGCATATATTTTTATTTATTTTGAAAAAAAATACAGGAAACAAATATTTTTATTTATTTTGTTAAATCAATCAATATACTAAAAAAAAATATCTTACAGTCCAATGATATAATTGTAGTTTACAAATATTTTAATAACTATTCTTAAATAAATGCAAAAATAATAGCAATGACTAGAATAACAATAAATTAGCAACAGAAAATATAAAAATAATCAATTAAATCTGTAATAATTAAAAGTAAATGTTAGTTTTGAAACAAAAATAGAATACTTATTCACAGACAAAACCCTAACCCTGACAATATGTTGCATACCTACAAAATATAACAATTTACTTTGAGATAAAAACAAGTATTGTAATAAAATATATTATTAACAATGATTTTATAAATGTACTAATTTTAAAATTTCCAACCATAACTACACAAATTTAAACATATTTATAAATTTGTAATTAAAAGAAACTATTAAAGTGAATAAATTAACAAATGGATTTTAATATTTTAAAACCCCTAATAGAAAAAAACGGGTACAAACACCCTAAATAATCTTTCCCACATGAGATTTTAAAAAAGAGAACAAATTTACTGTAGGTATACAAATTCAAGACAACTAAGTTTAGAAACCAAAATTAAAAAAAAAGTCATAAAAAGTATTTGTAATAAACAAAACTATTGAAGCACAATATTTTTATTAAATAAATTTTTTTTAAATAATCAGAAATCTCAAAGTCAGTGATCTTTAAATCTTCATTACAATAACAACCCATTTCCAAATAAAGCAATTATATTAATCAAACTCAATAAAATCCCAGGTAACACAAAACGTTTTATTTTGTTCGACGAACGTTGTGAACGTTCAAGCACGTCCTATGAACGTCCCGTAAAAGTTATGGAAGTTCTATCGCAGCTAACAATTTACGCTTAATAAATGTCAGCATAACGTTTGTTAAGGTTCGCGAATTGTACGCCGTAAACGCTATTTGAACCAACTTTTTGGGATCTTTAATTTACAGTTCTTAAACGTTCACTGCAAACGTTCAAATAAAAAACAGCGAACGTTGACTTAACGTTCACTGCAAACTTTACTTTAATAGCTTAGGAATGTTTAACTCAAATATATTATAACGAACGCGGACTTTCACCAAGTAATTTGATTTTCTTTTAAATGCATAAATGATTTAGAAATGTTATCTTTTTGTTTAAAACTACGTTTGTTTGTAATTATGTAATGAAATTCTTTTTTGAACTTACCTAACCCTTTTTTTACTTAACAAATACAAATTCACCATGTATTACAGGTGAATTACACCATATCAAACTTATTTAAAAATCTATGATTTAATTATTACACTTCAACCAAAAGGCACAAAATTGGCTGACCTGATTAAAGTTAACAAAACCTTATACTAAAAAATTACCGCTTGCAATGAAAAAGATTATTAATTATTACTAGTTGGTGTGTCATTAGTACCCTATAGGACACAAATAACAATTTGAATCAATTTAAGTTAAATCTGTATACAATACAACGTCGACAACATTAAAAATAAATACGTGTTGTTCAAGTATAAAAGTGCAGTTATCGCGGCAATTTTTTACATTTAATTTATTATATAATAGATAATTTTAAACTCTAAATATTTTTTTTTTTTTTTAATTTGTTAGTTAGGTGCCCCAAGATGACCTAACGGTCTTGTCACAGACCACCACGCAAGTACATTTAACCACGAAGTTTACGCCTCCTTCTTTTTTGTGACGCGAAATATGTCCAAAGCTCGTTTCAAACCTGGATCTCCTGCTTATAAACCAAGTGCTCTAATCACTGCGCCACGGTCGCACAATTAAACTATTATACAAATTTTATACTATAAACATATAATATAACGATAATTTTATTTTAATTAACTAAATAACCATAATAAAAAGTTTAAATACTATGTCGATAAATAAATAAATTTAACAATTTTAATTTTTAACTTTATTTATGTAAATTTCATTAGCCGTCTCAATTTAATACATAAAATCACAGTTTAAATGCATTTTTTCATTAAATACGATTTTTTTATTTTCTAGTTTTGTAGAGTATTATAAACATTTTGAGCTACATGTCAATACATTTGACATTTTCAAAAACATGTGTGGAATTTACGGCATTGCACTTTTAATAAAGGATTTTACTTGCATCGCACACTTTCGAATTAAAAATTAATTGCATTGTTTGTCTTATATCACTAACACTTTATATCCTTTATATATTTCAAGTATCCAAGTTATATATTGATGATCCACTTACAGATCCTTTAAAAAAGTTTGAGGTAGAGGTCCACAATCGTATTCTAGACACAGTGTTAAGAAGTCTGTCGACTCGGTTTGCATCACACGGTGAACTGTACTCTGATGAGTTGTTTTGACCTTAACGGATTTTCTTAGTTATTAGAATGTAATATTCCAAAAAAAGCCCTACAGAAAATCTGCTGTCATATTTCGGCAACAGGTGTGTAAACTTACTTATAAATATAATTGATTGGTTTCTTGTTAAATTTTATTAGTAATTGCTTAAGTATTTTTATTTTCCAAATTGGTAAACTTCATTAAATTTTTAACTAGCATTAGATAAGTCTATCCTCTTTAGTTCTTTATTTTGAATATTTATAAGATTATCTTTATCTTTTTATATTTTAGGCAAAGAAAGGCAGCTGTTGCTTGAGCTGTTGGACTTTGCAAAAAACTGGCCAGTTTAAAAAAAAACATTGTAAGAAAGTTACAATTGTTCTGATCAAATCACGATTGATGAGGATGAGGTTAAAAATGAAGATGACGCCACCAACCATGTGCTTCGAAAATATAATCTTTACGGCAAAAGCTACTGCATGCTGCACAGGGCTTACAAATTCATGCTCACAATTTCAATTACCCAAGTGGCTTGTGAGAGGAGTTTCAGCAAGTTGAAATGTGTCAAAACAAGATTACGAAGTCAGTTGACAGAAGATCACTTGGACTCACTGTTGATGATGTGCATTGAAAAGGACATATTGAGTAACATAACCAACGATGAAATCATTGATGAACTTGTTAAATTGAGTCGTGAATTTAAAAAGTTACTGTTTTTATGATTTTTATTTTTGTGATTTAAATATGAATTTATAAAACAAATATAACATATGTACTTAAATGACATCTTTATTATTATTATTATTATAATATTTTCTTTGCCGTATAATTAAAATTTACAATGAGAAAAAACCATTCATGTATAAAAATTGGCCGGAGCGAGAAGAAGACATAAACTGTCTTATTGCAAAGCCCCGTTTACATTAACGTCACAAAGTTACAAGTTAAAAACTAAAAGGTTAAAAATTGAAGTACAATACAATATTAGTTTGACAAATATAAGACACAAGTAATAAATCGAATAAATGTTATTTGTCTGTTCAAAATTAATAGTATATATATTTTTTATTTTAATAAGAAATAAACAAGATACACAAGACAATAGTAAATGAGTAGTGATGACTTTTTCAGGTTTAATTATTTTAGGTGATTTTAGAAGAAATCTTTAAAATCGAAAGTTTTTTCTAATAGAAAACGTTTAGATTCTCTTTTGAATTGTTCTAAGGAGATGCCTCGAAGAATATTATTTTTAATTATATTTTTTAAAAAACCTTTCCATATAAATGGTCCCCGGTATTGAATTTGAAATGTATTGAGTTTTAAATAAGATCTTAGAATAACAAAATTATCAGATGAAAATTTAGTGGGATATTTATGAGATATTTCGGTAAAGTAAGACTGAAATATATTAGGAGATAACGCATGTTTTGTTTTAAACGTAAATAGCATAACTTGGTATATATTAAGTTTGTAAATATTAAGCATATTAAGTTTCTTTAAAAGAGATTCACCATTAACAGTTCTGTTAACGCCAAAAATAATCCTACAAGCATGTTTTTGTTTGCTATAAATTTTTGTGAGCTTCCCATAATTGGTACGTGCCCATGCAAATTTATTGATTTTAAACATGTGTATACAAGTCCTTATTGTTCAATAGTGTTACAAAGTATTTAAAAGTGAGGGGTTACAAGCAAATACGATTAAAAAAAAAGGTCACTTGGTGGGTCTTTTTCATGATAGCATTTCCCGGGCCTTTTCAAAAGCCTAATCCGCCCCTGTTTGGTGGCCGTTATTGTAAAGATACAATTCGACGCATTATGCGTACAGCAGAAACTAATCAGGTTTTGCCATTTACTACTAAGTTTTTTAATAATTTTTTGTATGGCATTTAGCAAAAAAAAAGCGATATATAGAAGCCCTAATTATCATTAAAAACAATTATGTACCATATACAATATATTATAATAATTGGTGATGCGGTTAACATTTTGAGTACTTTTATTAACCTACCCTGTGCCAACCCGTCCAATTAGGGAAGTTATTTTCTCTATAGACCATCCTATGCTCATGTATTTGAGGAACAATTGGCATGGGAATTACGAGTCTGCTGTTGTATCACCTAGGAAGAAGACTCTTCCAGCAAATATCAAAACGGTGTTAAAGTCTGCCATGGAGAGGAGTTACTTTCACCCACTACGAATATCCCTGGCCAAGTTCGAGGTATTAAAAAAACATTATTATTAAAAAGGCAGGTATTAAAAAGATTCTGCAACCCAAGGCACCATGTATATTTTGACAATCTTCCTTATGATAGCAGTGTTGATAGCAATCTTCCTTATGATAGCAATCTATTTCAAACAACCTCCATGAGGAAAAATCAGATTCGAATGGGGAGTCTTACCTTTATTGCATCAAAATGTTGAAAAAAATAAATAAATCTTTGTCAATAGCAATGATTTTTTTTGTAATAAACAAGTAAAAAAAAACTGG